TTAGCTTTGCCATTATGAATGTTCTGAATTCTTTATCAGACATTTCCATGATTTCCATTGAACTGTATGTGGATGAAGAGGAGTTATCTTTTTCCCTTGGAGGAGAGGTATTTTCCTGCTTCCCCATATTTCTGGTGGTCCTGCAGCGATTTCTAGTCATCTGGTGGGAGACAGAGGTAGAGAGAGACAAAGAGTGATACAGAGACAGGAGACTTGTAAGTGGTCTTCCTACCACGCGAGTTTTGTATGCTTGAGGCCCAGTTATCAGTGGGACATCTTTCTTTTTCCCAAAAAGGCTAGATCGCAGGAGCCATGGCGCTGTCTGTCTCTTGAAGAAGGGCACGTGAGTTTTGGATGCTGGAGGCCCAGTTATCAGTGGGACATCTTCCTTTCTCCCAAAATGGCTAGATCGCTGGAGCCATGGCGCTGTCTGTCTCTTGAAGAAGGGCTGTCAATTGTTTTGATTATTTATCTCACTGGTATATAGACAGCCATTTTTTCACATGATAATGCAACCTTCAAAAGTTATTTAAGTAGTTGTCAATGTCAGCACTACATAAGTCAGAGATGTAGTTTTTTTTTTTTTTGAAGAGGTTTTTGATGTAGGGCACGTGCACTTGCCAGCCAGACAGAGAGAGACAGAGAGATAGAAAGCGACAAATCACCCCCCAAGGGTGATTTGCTGCAAGCCCTTCTCCTTCATTCACCTCTCAGGATCTTGGGCACGCACGCACATGAGCCTGGCGTGAGTTTAAGCCACCAGGTCTGGGATGTGAACAGTGGTCAACCATGTGGGAGTCCAGCGACATAGCCATTATGCTAACTTCTGGTCCTGAGATGCAGTTTTTTAAATATTTATTTTATTTTATTTATTAATTCATTTATTTTAATTTGACCAGAGAGACCGAGAGAGAGAAAGGGAAAGTGAGAAAGCCAGCCACCAGGTCCGAGATTTGAACCATGGTCAACCATGTATGAGTGTCCAGTGCTTTAACCACCACACCATCTCCTGGTCCTGATGCAGTTGTTTTCATTAGAGCTTTGGTGTCTATAGGTGAGGGGCTTTACTTATTGGAGACTGATGTTAGACTAAAAAAGGATGATTCCTTGTTTTTATTACTTTTTTTAAGAGAGATTTTTGCTGTAGGGTGTGTGTGCTTGCCAGAGAGACAGAGACAGAGAGACAGAAAATAAGAAATAACCCTCCATGGGGATGGCCATACCACAATCCCTTCTCCTTTATTCTCTCCTCAGGCAGGATTTTGGGCATGCACACACATGTGCCCAGTGTGTTTCAAGCCATTGGGTCTGAGAATTGAACTCATTGGCCATGTGGGAGTCCAGTGACTTAACTACTATGTCACCTGCTGGTCCCTGATTCCTTGTTTTTTGTGATCTTTCTCAAGTTATAGCAGTTTTTCTTTTATTTATTTATTTATTTTAAATATTTAATTTTTTATTTATTCATTCATTTATTTTGATTTGACAGAGAGAGAGAAAGTGAGAAAGAAAGCCACCAGGTCAAGGACTCGAACCACAGTCAGCCATGTGAGAGTGTCCAGCACCACCTGCTTGTCTCTCAAGTTATAACATTTTTTTCTGAGGTCCATGAAGGAAATACTTAATGATTAAAGTGGTTAACTCCTATTAGTGTTTTTCTATATGTTACAAACTTTCTCCTATAAAAATATTTTTATAATTGGAACAAAGTAATATGTTTTATATATACTTTTAATATAAAATATACCATCGAACTTTTTTTTGAGATTTTTTTTCTATAGGGCACATGCACTCACCAGAGAGATAGAGACAGAAAGTATCACCCCCCACCCCCACCCCAGGGCAATGGCCACACCGCAATCCCTTCTCCTCCGTTCTCCTCTTGGGATTTTGGGCATACACACACATGCACCTGATGTGAGTTTGAAGCCACTGGGTCTGGGACTTGAACGTTGCTTACCAGAAAGACGGAGAGACAGAAAGCGAGAAATCATTGGCCGACTACATGGGAGTCCAATGATGTAATCATTATGTAAGCTGCTGATCCCATCATTCAGCATTTTTGTTGTTCAGTGAAGGGCATTGAAAAGAGCAGATAAAAGGTTGAGAGGGCATGTGATAAAGTAGAGATGTTTATTGGACTGTACCAGGAAATCAGAATACTGAACGGGAGCAGACCAGAAATAAAGACCACCAGTGTAAGACCAGAGTAACTTGAGGTTCACTCTTGCTTTATAAATTTTATTACATGTGTTTTTAATGACTTAAAAATATTTATGTATGGGACCAGCAGTTGGCATAATGGCTATGTCACTGGACTCCTGTGTAGTTGACCGCAGTTTGAGTCCCGGATCTGGTGGCTTAAACTCATGCCAGGCGGGTGCGTGTGCATGCGTGCCCGAGATCCATAGAGGAGAATGGAGGAGAAGGGATTATGGCGTGGCCATCCTCTCTGCGGGGTGATTTCTCGCTTTCTGTCTCTCCGTCTTTCTGGTAAGCGCACGTACCCTATAGCAAAAACCTCTCAAAAAAAAAATATATATATATAAAAAACTTATGGGGCCAGCAGGTGGCATGATGGTTAAGGGCATTGGACTCCCATATGGTTGACCACTGTTCTAGTCCCGGACCTGGCAACTTGCTTTCTCACTTTCCCTCTCTCTCACCCTGTCCCTCTCTGGTCAAATTAAAATAAATAAATAAATAAATAAATAAATAAATATAGTTAAATAAAATACTTCTTTATATTTATGTATGGATAATTATTTCTCTTATTTTTATTAAGGTTTGCTGTTGAGGCCCATGACCCACTAGTTGAAGCACTTGTTACAGAAGCCTGGAGAAGGATGGAAAGGCAAGTACTCTGGCTTTGTCATCTAAGATCAGCGTAACCCTTTCTGGGTTAGCCCAGTGAAGACTTGTAAGAAAAGAATTTGGAGCTGCTGCCTGCCTATCAAGGCTCATTGAAAAAAATGTATTTAAACTCAATTTAGATAGAGGGTTTTTGATTATGTAATGTGTGTTCTATAAGAGAGAAAATTTTCTGGGAAACAGTGTGCTTTTCTACATACATAATTAATCATATCTTAAATAAGGTAGAATCATAGCTATTCATGCACTCTTTGTTTTTAAACAAGAACATTATACCAAGGCTTTGCTTTGGCTTGTGCTAAATCAAAAATTGTAGCTCTGGAACCAGCAAGTGGCATGGTGGTTTAGGTGCTGGATCCCACATGGCCAACTCTACAGTTCAGGTCCAGAACCTGGCATCTTGAAAAACACATCAGGTGCATGTGCATGTGCACCTAGAATCCAAAGAAGGAGAATGGAGGAAAAGTGACTGTGGTGTGGCCATCCCTCTGAGGGAATTTCTCCTGGTGATTTCTTACTTTCTCTCTCACTCTCTCTCTCTCTGGTGAGCATATGTGCGCTCTAGCAAAAACTCGAAAAAAAATATTGTAGCTCTGAGACATTTTATTATAGAAAGGTTTGGTACTCATATAGATTAATATAAACTTAAGATTTATAATGCATTTACTTCATTCTTTAGCTTGAGCTTATTGTAGGGTTTAAGAATCTGAAGTCTATTGTAAAGGACAGGGGTACAGTGTTAAAACTGGATGCTCTGCACGACTGACCCACGTAGGATGTTCTGATTTCAGTTCTGGAGGCTTTCCTGAGTGCGCTGATGCATGCAGGTGTGCATGATTCAGGGCTGGATGAAGTTGGGCTTGGATGTTGGTGTCAAGACTCTATTGGAGGTGCTATCTTTCTGTGTTTCTCTCTCTCTCTCTTGCTCATAGAAGAAATAGATACACTTAAAAAAAAAGAAGAATCTGTTGTATGCTGGGTTTAGAAATTCTAGATTCATCTACTAAGTTGTGATTTTAGTTACTCATTATCTAAACCTATCTCTCTTCTCATCCATTTCATTCTCTTTTTAAAAAATTATTTATTTACTTTTATTCATTCATTCATTTTATTTTGATTTGACCAGAGAGAGACACAGAGAGAAAGAGAAGGAAAGTGAGAAAGCAAGCCACCAGGTCCAAGACTTGAACCGTGGTCAGCCATGTGGGAGTGTCCAGCGTCTTAACCACCATGCCACCTGCTGGTCCCATTCTTGCACCTTTTCTACCCTTTACTGAAGATAATCTTACTCCTTTTGCAAATAGTAAAAACTGTTTATTTACTGGATCTTTTAGTTTTAATTTGGTATTTATTTATTTATTTACACTAATGGGAACATGTGTGAGAGAGAGAGAGAATGAGAAAGCATCCTTCAATGGACCTGGAAATAGTCCTGTTTGCTCCAATTTTGAGAGAGAGAGAGAAAGAGCAAGAAAGCACCCCCTCGACGAGGCCTGGTCACACAGTCCTTTCTCTTACAATTAATTATCTATCCCATCAGGTTCCAGCATACATGTTTGCCTTGTGTGTTTTTGAAGCCATGGGCTTAAACCCTGGTTGGCCATATGGGATTCTACTTCCTATGCATAGTACTTAACCACTGTGCTGTGGGGCTGGCCTTAATTTGGACATTGTTGATAATAGGTCAAATCATTTTATTGAGTCATCGGAAAAGTCATGATACATTTCTGCATAGAAAAACATAGAAAATTATGTCATGACTATTCCGAGTCCATATTTATCTTCAAAGCACTATTAAGTGTTCTGCGTATTAGGCAATTTGAACAAAATAGTTATAAAATAGGTGTTCTTGGGACCAGCAATTGGCGTAATAGCTATGTCACTGCACTTCCATGTAGTCGACAACGGTTCGAGTCCCGGACCTGCTGGCATAAACTCATGCCGGGCACATGTGTGTGTGCGCCTAAGATCCTGAGAGGAGACTGGAGGAGAAGGGATTGTGGCGTAGTCATCCCCCTTGGGGGGTGATTTCTTGAGTTCTGTCTCTCTGTCTTTCTCTGTTTTTCTGGCGAGTGCATGTGCCCTATAGCAAAAACCTCTTCAAAAAAAAGGTGCTCTTTTGTTTGGTTTTACTATTTATTAGTTTAAAAATTACAGATGAACAACTGGGCTTCCTAATGAGTGAGGCACATCTCTCTCATGCTCTCTTTTTTTAGTTGCCAGAGGGCATGTGTGCTCTCCAGAGAGAGACAGAGAAATGACATCCCAATGGGGCATGATACTGCCACAATTCCTTCTTTATGTCTCCATCCTGTCAGGATTTTGGACATGCATGCTTATATGCCTGACCTATTTTTCGTGCCACCAGGGCTGAGATTAGAACAATGGTTGGCCGTGTGGTCCGACTTGCTTAACTTGTAGGCGTTGAGGCTGGCCCTTTTTCTTTTTTTATGCTAAGTAATACAAAAATTTAAGAAAAGGTTTATTTATTTATGTAATTCCATTTGTTATTATTATTTTTTTATTTGACCAGAGAGAGAGAAAGGGAAAGTGAGAAAGCAAGCCACCAGGTCCAGGACTTGAACCACAGTTGGTGATGTGGGAATCCAGCGTCTTTAACCACTACACCACCTGTTGGCCCCAATACAAAACTTTTTAATCCTTAATTTAGGCCTGGCTCTGTGGCCTGGTGGTTAAGGCAGCTAGATCTGCATGGATCCATGAATCCATGGATCTATGGCTTACCCCATGGTTTGAGTCCCAGACTTGGCAGCTTGAATCCATGGCCTATCCCGCGGTTTGAGTCCCAGACCTGGCAGCTTGGGAAAAATACCAGATGCGTGTGCAAAATCCTGACAGGATGGAGAAAGGGATGAGAATGGGTTGTGACATGACCATGCCCCAGGGGAGGTGCTTTCTCCCTTTCCTTCTCTCTTTCTCTGGCGAGCACATGTGCTCTCTGGCAAAAATGAAAAATAAAAGAAGGAAAAACATTAATTTATATTCTATATGTAGCATTTCTAGTAGCCACTAATTTCTGATGTTTTTAGTCTTTGTGGGCTATGAAGTCCATTTTTTCTTGTTGCAGCCATAGCTACAAAATCAATCAATGATCTTGCTAAAATGCCCTGGAATTTATGATATATAAATACAATTTGTAATGATTCAAGTGGGATAGATTATTATAGATTGGCATTGTATAGTGGCCCATGGCAAGAGCGTTTAGCTTGTATTTGAAATTCAGGAATTAAAAATAAGCCAGCGTGTTTCTCAAGCTGTTAAGTCTGGGACTCAAACTACTCTGTTTTTGTTTTTTTTTTTTTTTTAAGATGTTTTTGCTATAGGGCTCATTCGCTCGCCAGAAAGACAGAGAGAGACAGAGAGAAAGAAAGCAAGATATCACCCCCTGGGGGGAAAGCCACACTGCAATCTCTTTTCCTCTATTCTCCTCTCAGGATCTTGGGCATGCATGCACATGCGCCCGGTGTGATTTTAAGCCACCAGGTCCGGGACTTGAACCTTGGTCGACTGCATGGGAGTTCAGTGACATAGCCATTACGCTAACTGCTGGTCCCCAAACTACTCTGTTAACCACATAGGATCCAGAGCTTTTACTACCATGCCATTGACTGGCCTGAGTTTTTCTTTTAAGTCTTTCTATAGTATCTAATTCTTATTTTAATTTTATTTTTTTAAGAGAGATTTTTGCTATAGGATGTGTGTGCTTGCTGGAGAGACAGAGAGAGATAGAGAGACAGAAAGTGAGGGGCCGGCAGGTGGGGTGGTAGTTAAGAGCACTGGGTTCCCACATGGCTGGCTGTGGTTTGAGTCACTGACCTGGCAGTTTACTTTCTCACTCTCTTCACTCTGGTCAAATTAAAATAAAGAAATAAAATTAAATAAAATAATTCTTTTTAAAAAAAAAAGAAAGAAAGAAAGGGAGAAATCACCCCCTGGGGAGATGGTCATACTGCAATCTCTTCTGCTCCACTCTCTTCTTGGGATTTTGGGAATGCACACACATGCGCCCAGTGTGAGTTTCAAGCCACCAAGTCCAGGACTCAAACTGCATTTGGCCATGTGGGAGTCCAGCAAGGTAATCATTATGCCATCTGCTGGTCACAATATGTAATTTTTAAATTGTTCCCATTTGTTACTTTAATAGTCAATTATCAGTATTTTAGATAAACTCATAATAGTATTGTAATAGTATTTTTATTGCCTTTTATAACTGCATTATGCTTTTTAAGTCTAAGTAAATACTAATGATCTTATTTATATGTTTCCTTTAATAGGTTTGATATTAATGTGCTGTCAAAATTTTCCTCTTACCTAGTGGATCAGCATTTGTATCTTAGTCCACTAATGGGAAAAATTGCAGATATTGTAAATAGGAACTTGGAAACCATAGAGGACTTAAGGTAAATTTATTTAGGGACTTGTGTTGAAATGGAAGGATCCTAGGATTTGAATGCAGATGCAGATTTACCGCTTGCAGCTACATGACTTAGTGCTAATTTAATCAATGTGTTGGAGATGCATACTCTCATCTATAAAATAGGGACAGTCATATCTACTTTTCAATGTTGCTGTGGGAATTATAGATGAGATATGTAAAGTGTAACACAATTTTGTTGAGCTCTGTGAAGAGTCTGAGATTTTACCTTAATTGCAAGCTCACAAATTTGCCTGCCACGTTTTCATAGGTGCTGGCAGAAGACATGAGACGTCTAGGTCAGAGACAAAGGATGTTAGTTCTGATGGCAAGAGTAATAGCCAGAAGACCCGTATTTTCTTGTGCTGGTTCCCTGGACCCCAATTCACAGTGGTTAGTTACAGTTAGGGAGGAACCCTGCCATTAGGGAACCTGCATCTTTTATATTGTGTGGTAAGTGTGTCTACTGTGCTCCAGTAGGAGACACGCTCCCTATCCTCCTATGCTGTTTGCTATACAAATAGCCTTAAAAAGATAGTTCCAGGGGCCAGCAGATGGTGTGTGGTGAAAGTGTTGGACTCCCACATGGCTGACTACAGTTCAAGTCCGAGACCCAGAGGCTTGAAACTCATACTGGGCACATGTGCGTGTGTGCCCAAAATCTTAGGAGGAGAATGGAGAAGGGATTGCAGTATGGCCATCCCCCCTGGGGGGTGCGGTGACTTCTCACTTTCTCTGTCTGGCGAGTATACATGCCCTACGGAAAAATAATCTTTTTTTAAAGGTTTATTTATTTATTTTTAAAATTTTTATTTATCATTATTGCCCTTCAGTTTTGACCAGAGAGAGACAGAGAAAGCAAGGGAGAATAAGAAAGCAAGCCTCCAGGTCTGGGACTCAACTGCGGTAGGCCATGTGGGAATCCAGCACTTCAATTACCATGCCACCTGCGAGCCCCAAATATCTCTCTTAAAAAAAAAAGAAATGATAGTTCCAAATAGAGGCAGTCAGTTCCTCTGCTTGCAATATGTATAGAAACTCTAGAAACCCATGGAGAATTATCTCCCAGTGCGTATCTAGAACATAGAAGTTTTTGAGGAATTTATAGTTGTTACTGTTATTACATATTAAAGTAAAATAATTTTTTTTTTAGTTTCTGAACTCCTGTTTTACAGAATTTATTTTTACACCTATTATATCACACATTTTAAACACCAACATATAACTCCCTAATAAGATAAAGCAGACAAAAAAGTTTACCTTATTAGAAACAAGATACACTATCATTTATAATCTTCAATCATTATTGCACTTGGAACTTTCATAATCTGACAAAGCATCCATGAAACAATCTGCAGACTAGTTTAACAAATAACACTTTTAAGCAGATATGACAGTCCTAAATTGTTTATTAGGTATGAATTTTACAAACATTTCTTAGATTAGCGGTAACAGTGGAGCTGGAGAGTACTGCGCCTTCTCCAAGCTGCACGGCAAGAGCCACCAATAGTGTGGTGGAACTTGTGGCCCTTTCCAAGGCCTGGCTCTTGTGGCCTGCAGATGTCAGCCCACGGATCTCCCTGTGCTTGTGGACTGGCTTGGTAATCCACTGGGTGTCAGCGTTTTTTCTGATAGCTTTATGGAATGGATCAATGAGGATAACCTCGAAGAATTTGTATGTGGAATCTTCACCCACCCAGTAAGAATTCAGGACAGGAAGAGCCCCACAGTGGCATCCAGCTCGCTCCTCTGCAACAGACTGGAGGCTGCCAGCAAACTTGAGCTGGTTAACACCATGATGGACAGGCTTGCCATAGGTTGCATCCTTGGGGACTGGGTGTTTGCCGCCTCTACGCCGCACACCAATCCTGTATATCACGTAACCGAGCTTCACTTGGTAGCCCAGTCGGCCTGCTTTATCCTGCTGGGTGGGGCGGGGCGCTCAGTGCAGGCGCAACGCAGAGAGCTGGCGGTACTGCCAGCCGCGGACCCACAGTAGAAAGCGCATCACGTGGGGCTACTTCTTCCGCCACAGCTCTTGGATGTACTTGTACACGCCCATCTTGGCTTATCTGATGGCTGCCGCCAGACGAAAAGGAAAGAGCATTTCTCCCCAACATAAGTATTTAAATCAAATGTGAATTCACAGATTTTATATACAGTTATGTCTTTCTAATTCCTTCCATCTGGGACTACTTTCTTTTCAGTTTCATAATGGAGAGTTAATGATTTCGTTAGCTGAATACTAACTAGCTATTTGGAAGTAATATTTGAGGCTTTTCTATAGTTTTCAAGCCAGAGGTGTTTTTTGTTTGTTTGTTTTTTGAAGAGATTTTTGCTAGGGCCAGCAGGTGGCGCAGAGGTTAAGGTGTTGGACTCCCACATGGTGGACTGTGGTTTGAATCCTGAACCTGCAGCTTGCTGTTTCACTTTCCTTTTCTCTCTCTCTCTGGTCCAATTAAAAAACAAAAACAAAAAACAACAACAAACAAACAAATAAATGGAAAATAATTCTTCAAAGTTATTTTAAAAAGAGAGATTTTTGCTATAGACTGTATGAGAAAGCAAGCCACTAAGTTGAGGATTCAAACTGTGTTCAGCCATGTGGGAGTCCAATGATGTAAACACTTTGCCATCTGCTGGCCTCTATGGTACTTTTTAAAAATTAATTATTTTTGTCATGATAGAGAGCATATATGCACAGAGAGAAAAAGGAAGTACCCTTGACAGGGTCTTATCAAGCTATGATCCCTTTTCTTCTGATTCATAAGGATCTTGGGCATGCACACATGTGTCTGGTGTGTTCCAGGTAGTACTAGCTGGGATTTGAATCAGGTAGTATATGGCTTCCAGCACTGCAGTTTATTATGTTACCAATTGTACCATCAGGCTGGGCCCGGATACAAGGCCTTTGTTAGGTACATGTGTTGTGAATATTTTGACCAGCCTATGGTTGTTCAGTTCTTTTCAATTTTGATGTAGGGTTGTATGCATTCACAAGAAAGAGAGAGACAAAGTAAGAAAGCATTCCTTAGGGTGTGGCCATGCCTCAATCCATTCTTCATTCTCCTCTCGGTATTTTGGGCATGCACACACATGTGTCTGGCAGGTTCTCAAGCTGACATGTCCAGAACTCAAACTGTGACATTGGCCATGTGTGCCACAGGCTGGGCCCCCAATTTGTTTTGTTAAAAAAAGAATTATTTAACTTTATTATCGTTATTATTTTTTAAAAATTTGATCAGAGAGAGAGAGAGAAAGCAAGCAAGCCACCAGGTCTGGGACTTGAACTGCAGTAGATCATGTGGGAGTCCAGGACTTTAACCACTACACCACCTGGTGGCCCCCCGATTCTTTCTTTTAATGGAATCATCTGATAAGAAGTTTTAGTTTCTTCTTTTGTGGATTGTGCTTTCTGTGTCCTCTCCAAGAAATTTTTGCCTGCTCTAACATCACAAAGATATTTCCCTCTGTTTTATTCTAGAAACTTTATAGTTTTAGTGCTTAGCTTTTACATTTAGGCCTGTGATTCATCTCAAATGAACTTTTGTGGTATATGGGAGAAGTCAAAGTCTTTTATTCCTCTATATGTGTATCTGTAATAGTTGTCCCAACACCATTTATTTAAAAGATTTTACTTTCCAGGACTAGCATATGGTGTAATGGTTACATCACTGGACTCCCATGTAGTTGGCTATGGTTCAAGTCCTGGAACTAGTGACTTAAAATCCACACCGGGTGTGTGTGTGTATGTGCTCAAGGTCCTAAGAGGACAGTGGAGGAGAAGGGATTGTGGCGAGGCCATCGCCCCTTGGGGGTGATTTCTTGCTTTCTGTCTGGCAAGCACATGTGCCCTATAGCAAAAAATCTCTTTCAAAAAACCCCCCAAAAAAACAAACACAAAAAACTCTACCCCTCCACCCCCCAAAATTTTTTACTTTCCATGTTGAATTGCTTTGTTACATTGTCTCAAATCATATGACTCTGATATTCAGATCTATTTTTAGACTCTATTCTGTTCCAGTGATAAATCCGTTCATTAAAACTACTCTTGATTATTGTAGCTTTATAGAATTAGTACATCGAGAAGTTAGATAGTGTAGGTTATTCAAATTGGTTTTCCATCTTTTTTTTAAATAACTTTTTTATTTTATTTTTAAGGTTTTTGCCATAGGGTGTGTGTGCTCACTGGAGGGAGGCAGAGAGAGACAGAGGGAAAGTGAGAATCGCCCCAAGGTGGGGGATGGCCACACCACAGTCCTTCTTCCTCCATTCTTCTTCTGGGATTTTAGGTCCAAATGCACATGTGCCCAGTGTGATTTTCAAGCTGCCAGGTCCAGGACTCAAGCCTTAGTCAGCTATGTGGGAATCCAGTGCCTTAACCACCACACCACCTGCTGACTCAGGAGTGCAAGTCCCACTAATGTTTAAAAATACATCTTTTTATAAAATTCACTAGTTTTACCAATTCTTTTCTATATCTGGTCATTTACTTCTAGATTTGGTCTTTTTCTTTTTCCTCTTCTTTTTTTTAATGCCAGAAGCTATGTGTGCAAGAGAGAGAGAGAGAGAGAGAGAGAGAGAGAGAGAGAGGGAGAACTCCCCAGTGGGGTATGGTCATGCTGCAATCCCTTTCCTCCATTTTTCTTTCCCATCAGGATATGGTGCTAGCACATGCACATGTCCAGTGTGTTTTTCTTAGTAATTCTTTATTTAATTTTATTGATGATTATTATTTTGAAATTTGCTGTGGGGCACATGCGCTCACGAGAGAGAGAGAGAGAGAGAGAGAGAGAGAGAGAGATAGAGAGAAAGCAAGTCACTAGGTCTGGGTCTTGAACCATGTGGGAGTCAAGCATCTTAACCATTACACCACTGCTTGCCCCTCCAGTGTGTTTTTCAAGCCACTAAGGCCGAGATTCGAACTGTGATCAGCCCTGTGGAATTCGGCATCCCCCACACACAACTACTACATTTCAGGACTAGCCTGAATTGGTCGTTATTTTTAAATAATGTAAAATTTTTTGCATCTTTTTCTTTTTTTTTTCAGGTCTTTGTCTGTCTTGATGGTCAGCATATCTTCTTTAATATCACAACATTTTCAAGAACAATTACTGAACAAAACAGAATTTCTTTTTGATACCATAGATTCTTCTGAGGTCAACATTGCGAAAAGAATAGTACAGTTTCTTCGAAATGTTAAATATAGTTATTACCCACTATTAGAAAGGTGTAATGAAGTGTTTTTAAGCAATATAAACCATCTTGATTTGGATTCCATCAGTAAAATACTTGGTCTATACCGCTTTCTACAGTTTCATAGTTTCGAGTTTACTAAAATGGCTAAAAAGAGACTAAAAGAAATGAGTCCTCTGTTTGATCACCCTGCCAGCTTTGTAAAATTGTTTGTAGCATTGGGACCCATGGCGGGACATGAAGAAAAGAAACAGTAAGTACAGTTTAAAATGCTTTACTTTTCTTGTTGGAAATATATGAAGCCTTTCAGCTTAGGTCTCCTCGCAGCTCTGGATGGCATAAAAATCACCCTCGGTGAATCATGAAGGGAACATATTTTCTTATGTTCTGTGCCTTGATTCTTTTTCTGATTATTCTAATTTACATCTCAAACTCTTAGTCTACCGGTGTGTTCTGAAAGGTGGATGATAAACCCTGGTGTAGGACCAACATAGAAAATGATGACGGAGGGACCAGCAGTTAGCGTAATGGCTATGTCGCTGGACTCCCACGTAGTCGACTATGGTTCAAATCCTGGACCCGGCGGCTTAAACTCATGCTGGGCGTTGTGTGTGCGCGTGCCTAAGATCCCAAGAGGAGAATGGAGGAGAAGGGATTGTGGCGTGGCCATCCGCCCTGAGGGGTGATTTCTCGCTTTCTGTCTCTATGTCTCTCTCTGTCTATCTGGCAAGTGCACGCGCCCTCTAGCAAAAACCTCTCAAAAAAAAGATAAAATAAAATAAAATAAAATAAAATAAAATGATGACGGAGAATACCATTTAAGTGCACTTTTTTATTTTTTAAATTGTTTCCTTTAACTTTCTTTACTTTAATTTGACCAGAAAGTGACAGAGAGAGAGAGAGAGAGAGAGAGAGAGAGAGAAAGCAAGCAAGCCACCAGGTCCAGGACTTGAACTGTAGTAGGCCATGTGGGAGTCCAGTGCCCTTAACCACCATGCCACCTGCCAGCCCCCCATTTAAGTGCTTTTATTCCCTTTTCTTAGTCCACTCTCATTCCCCCCAACGTCAGCCAGCCCGATCATGGGCACAGAGATGTGCACTGAACACATACAGAGAGACCTTGGGATGTGAACTCAGGACCTTCCTACTTGGGTTCAGCATTGCAGACCATTATATTAGTGCTGTGTCACTGCAGCTGGATGTGAATTTTCAGTTTTACCAGATATCAAGGTAGATAGAAATGTTTGGGACATAAAGATGGTCAGATATTAAATTAATACATAAATGTGATTGGTAGATAAGATTATCTTGTGACTGGGTTTACACACAGGCATATAATTCTGTTCCTTAGTGTAAGTATATGGAATATTTAGAATTACAGTATTCCTAACAGATAAGTATGAGTAGATTCAGCTTAGTAGGAATTACATAAGAGAGGATTTTTGTTTGTTTTTGTTTTTGCTACAGAGCAAATGTGCTTGTGTAGAGAGACAGAGAGAGGGAAAGTGAGAAATCACTCCCTAGGGGGGATGACCATGCTACAATCCCTTCTCCTCCATCCTCTTGGGAAACTGGGCACGCACACACATTTGCATATTTCAAGCCACTGGATCCAGGACTTGAATTGCAGTCGGCCATGTGGGAGTCCAGCAGTTTAGCCACCATACTACCTGCTGGTCTAAGGAATTTGTATTTTTATTCTGTTGAGGAAAACTTCATGGAGAGAAAGCACTTGCCCCAGTGAGACATAGTCTAATCCCTTTTCCTTTATTTCCCCATTCTGTCAGAATTTGGGCATGCACACTCACATACCTGGCAGGTTTCCCAAGCCTCTGGGGATGGCATGTGAACCGCAGTTGGCCATATTGGATCCAACTTCCTATGCATGGGCCTTAACCACTGTGCTATAAGGCCGACCCTGAGAAAGTTTTAAGGATTTTTTGGAGTTATATGAAAAAACGTAAGGGGACATTTTAAAATAACATATCACGATAGAGACAAGAAAAACCAGCATGGTGCATAAGGTGGCTGGATTCTATGTGGACAACATGCAATTCAAGTTCTGGAACCAGTGGCTTGAAAAACACACCAGGCGTGTGTGTGTGTGTCCAAAATCTCAAAAGGAGAAACAGGAGAAGAGTTTGTACTGTGACCATCCCTCCATGAAGGGTGCTTTCTTACTCTCCCCAACTCTTTCTGTCCCTGGCAAGCTCATGTTCCCTCTAGGAAAGTTTTTTTTTTGGAGAGGTTTTTGCTATAGGGCGCGTGCACTTGCCAGACAGACAGAGAGAGACAGAGAGACAGAAAGTGAGAAATCACCCCCCAGGGGGGATGGCCATGCCGCAGTCCCTTCTCCTCCATTCTCCTCTCGGGATCTTGGGCACGCACGCACATGTGCCCAGCGTGAGTTTAAGCCACCAGCTCCGGGACTTGAACCGCGGTCGACTACATGGGAGTTCAGTGACATAGCCATTACACTAACTGCTGGTCCCTCCCTCTAGCAAATTAAAAAAAGTTAAAAAAAAAAGATATAGAAACAAGATAATTATCAAAAACTTTAATCATAATCTATTTTTGTCACCAAATATCATTACAATTTTGTATGCTAAGGCAGTGTAGAAGTTGGATTTGGCTCAGTCCCTGTCTTAAAGAATGTATATTTCGTTAGGAGGATAGTAATATATTCTCAAGATATGTAAGTACTGTAACAACTCAACATAGTTCATAACTACGTACTAAATTAGTGATGTAGATAGTAAGTGCTGTGGGCAGATAGAGGAGTGAGGGAAAATTGTGAACTGAAGTGGTTGGAAAAAGCTTTGGGGAGAAGCTGAGTTTGAAAGGTTTCATAAGATTGGTGAAAAGGCTGATGTGGAGCTGTCCAGTAGGACAAGCGGCCGGCATGTGTTTAAGTCACCAGGTCTAGGACTCGAACTGCGGTCAACTACATGGGAGTCCAGTGCTGTAGCCATTATGCCAACTGCTGGTCCCATTTATTGTTGTTGTTAATATTATTATTATTATTTAATTTGACCACAGAGAGAAAGAGGGAGGAAAGAGAAGGCAAGCTGCCAGATCTGGCACTCAAACTGCGGTTGGCCATGTGGGAGTTCAGCAACTTTAACCACCACATCACCTGCTGGTCCAATTTTTTTAAGGTACAGTTTAAGATTAGATTATACTGAAGTCTTAATTCCTTTGTAGAAAACAGTACCTCTTCTTTTCTTTTGTGTGGTGTGTGTGTGTGGGGTATTTTAAATAGGTTCTTGCCTGTAATATACCTCCTACCTCAGCCTCCCCAATAGATGGGAATAGAGGCTCACACCACCTCACCTGAATTTTTAAGATGGCCCAGGAACGCAACCCAGACTTCCCATGTGTCCTCAGTAGTGGCATCCAGTGTGCTTCCATGGTTAGGTCACAATGTGCTTTCCGTTACTCAGTAACATTTTATATTATCCCCAAGTATATAGGGAGAAAGTTAGAATTATATATTGAATTCTTGAGTTTTTGCTTACATTATTTTTCTTTTGTTACCCAAGAGCTATTATTAAAAACATTTTTTGCAACTTGATTTTCTATTTTTCAACATAATATTTTCTTTGCTTCTAGACTTAAATCAGCTGTATTATTGATGTCAGAGGAACTGACCAGCCAGCAAGCCCTGGCAGTGCTGGGGGTGATGGAAGAGATGGAAAGCAGAAATCCGTATCTGATTAAAAAGTAACGTTTCCCGAGATTTATGGTGTTTAGTTGTCACTCTTAAGTGGTTACTTTTTTCTAAGAAAACATTTATAATCTAGCTGTTTTAAAGAAATAAATAATTAACACTTAAGACATTATTTATGCTCTAGTTTGTTCTTCAAATACAGAAGAGAAGTTGTTTCTAGTATCTTTCATTTTATTTGCTGCCGCTGTGATACTCAAGCAGAGCATCACAATCCAGGAAAATGGAGAGCGTAGAACAAGGACCCTACTTTTTTTTTTTTTTTTTTAAGGTTTTTGCAGTAGGGTGTGTGTGCTCACTGGAGAGAGACAGAGAGAGGAAAAGTACAAAATCATCCCCCAGGGGATGGCCAGCCTGCAGTCCCTTCTCTTTCACTCTCCTCTTGGGATTTTGGGCAGGCATGCACATGGGCCTGGCGTGATTTTTAAGCCACTGGGCCTGGGACTTGAACTGTGGTCAGTCAGACGGGAGTCCAGTGTCCCAACCACTGTACCACCTGCTGGTCCCTAGGACCCTACTTATCAAAAGGATATTTTCTGCAGAACTGTTTGCGTTCCTATGAATTACATTGTCTCTCACTCTACAATGTTACCTTGAAACCATAGTACCATATATTGACTTTTCTGGTAACTTTTCTGAGATTTAAGAGAAAACAATATATAGTTCTGATTATACATGCTTGATTTTTCATTATTATATGTTTTATTAATGTTTCTTTTAGTTTTTTTCCCCATTTCCTCCTTTATTGCTTTCTAGATTTTTCATAGATTTTTAAAAGAATTATTTATTTAATTTTACTTATTATTTTTTTATTTTAAAATTTGCTTTGGGTATGTGCACTCACCAGAGAGACAGAGGGAGAAGTTGGGGTGGAGGGTGAAAAAGCAAGCTGCCATGGTTGTCCATGTGGGAGTCCAGTGCCTTAACTACCATATCACCTGCTGGTCTTCTCATTGCTTTTAAGCATTTCTCTTTGAGGGTGGGTAGATCTCAGGAAGAAAATTAAATTGGTTTTGCTTATGTTAGTAACTCTTGGTAAAGATTTTGTGGTGGAGAGAATATGAAATTGGATGGCTACTCTCTGACTTTTTTTTTTTTTTTTAAGAGATTTTTGCTATGGGTTGTGTGTGCTTACCAGAGAGACAGAGAGACGAAGTGAGAAATCACCCTGTGGGAGATGGCCACAGTGTGATCCCTTCTCTTCCATTTTCCTCTCAGAACTTTGGGTATACAAGCACACACGCTTGGTGTGAGTTCTGTCACCAGTCTGGTACTTGAGCCTTGGTCCACTGAGTGGGAATCCAGTGACATAACCATTAGACCACTTGCTGGTCCCCTGTGATTTTTTTAAAAAATTTACCAAGTAAAACTATGCTTTTCTCTTGTCTTGCTATTGATAATTGAGTGTTATTTCATCCACATGTCATTGATTCTTCTTATTCATTCTGTTTTAATTGTTTCAAGATAGTGATAGAAACACAGGCAGTTCTTTAATAACAGAAAATCTTGTCTTACTCATTTTTGACTCTCCAGCACAAAGAGCATCTAGTGTAAAATCTCCACAGTAAATATATAATAAAAATAAACGAATGAAGTGGTTATAACAATATTCTATCATTCTTTTTAGAATTGCTTCAATTCTGCATAAACATTTGGATAACTATAAACCAGGAGAGCTACTGAAGATAACTCAAGCACTGACTTTTCTGCGTTTTCAAAGTAAAGAGCTTTTTGTGAAACTCAGAGAATTACTGCTTAGGTAAGATTAAACAGAAGTGTTTCATTTTGTAATCTAGATGCAATACTTTGTTTAATTATGTACAGAGTTGCTGGAATTTTCGGAGGTGAAATTTGGTACATTTTTACTTCAAAAGTACCTTATTACTTACACTATCTCTTTCTTTGAATGCCCATTCTTTGAATGCTAAGGCATATTACATTTTTACATTTATGATTTAAAAAATAAGATATATAAGGGGGCTATTAGTTAAAAAAAAAGTAGTGTTTTCATATTAAATTTTTTCCTTTTAAATTAGTTACTTTCTTTTGTAAATATAGTACTCGTATTCTAACTAAGAAATTATTCAATTTTTTATTGACTTTCATTAGGCTAGAACAAAAAGTTTCTCATTAAAATTTTAATTTTATTTAAAAAATTTTTAGAGTTTTTTTTTTGTTTGTTTGTTTGTTTTTTTTTTTTGCTATAGGGTATGTGTGCTCGCCAGAGAGACACAAAGAGATAGACAGAAAGCAAGAAATCACCTCCCGGGGTGTGGCCACACTGCAGTCTCTTCTCCTCCTTTCTCCTCCTGGGATTTTGGACACATGCTTGTGTACCCGGTTTGTTTCAAGTTGCTGGGTCTGGGACTTGAACTGTAGTAAGCTGTGTGGGACTTCAGTGATATAACCATTATGCCATCTACTGGTTCTCCAAGATCAAAATAATGACTTCAGTGAAATTTAAACAAGATGCATCTTTTTTCTCCTTCATTTTTTTCACTACTAGTTTGATTTCTTATTGAGATTTCTTAAAGACTAGGCATGGAACTGTACGCCAAAATGAAAAAATTGGCATATTGTTAAAAAATAATTTTTATTATAATAAAATGATAGGCCATCCTGGTTATGAATGATTTGAAATGAGGAATTAGAAGTGACATTTCATCAGATGAAAATTTAGCATATTAAGTATGTTATAAGAAAGTTTACCCTTTTCCTGAGCATGTGTGCTCACCAGAGAGAGACTTGGAGGGAAGAGTAGGGGAGGGGGGTGTGATAAAGCAAGCAGGTCCAGACTGGAGCTGCAGTCTACCATGTGGGAATCCAGGGCTTTAACCACCATGCCACCTGCTGGCCTCTCTGCTGTTATTTTTAACTTACTGAAATATAATCTATATAAAGTGTACATGTTTCCTCATTACCCTGGCCCTACTCCCAAGGTTAACTACTCTCTTCTTCAAACTACATGCATTAATCTTACCTTTGTACGTTATCTAAACAGAATCATGCAGTATGATTTCTCTTGCGTCTGTCTTCTTTTGCTGAGATTTATGCATGTTTTTCCTATATGGTATTCTATTTTAAGACTATAACAAAAAATTTTGTATTCTTTTGTAGATGAGTTTTTGATTATTTTTACTGTTTCAGCACGTTATGAATAGTGCTATTAAAAACATCTCCTTTGATGTTCCCACTTCTGATAACATGTTTATAAATAAATCATACTGTGTATATGTATATATATTTTTTTTTTTTTTTTTTCCTGCTAGAGAGCTTGTATGCTCACCAGAGACAGACCAACTCATAATGGCATAATGGCTATGTCGCTGGACTCCCATGTAGTTGACCGCGGTTTGAGTCCTGGACCTGGTGGCATAAAACTCACGCCAGGCGCGTGTGTATGCGTGCCCAAGATCCTGAGAGGAGAATGGAGGAGAAGGGATTGCGGCGTGGCCATCCCCCACCCCGGGGGGGGGGGCTGATTTCTAGCTTTCTGTCTTTCTAGCGAGCATACGTGCCCTATAGCAAAAACCTCTCCACAAAAAAAAATAATAATAAATCACCTTTGTATGTGTCTTAGTGAACATATGTTTGCATTTCTGTGGATATTTACCAGTTGTTGGTTTATAGGGTATCCATATGCTTGTCGTCAGTAGATGCTTCTAAACACTTCTCTAAAGCGACTGTACAGTTTATACTCCCATCAGCAAAATGTGAGCATCCCCATTGCTCAATATCCTTGCCAATACTTCTTTTTTCTTTCCTTTTTTTTTTTTTTTTAATTTTTAGCTGTTGTGGTGATATGTCACGTATTGTGAATAAAGACAAATGAATATCTAAGTTTTGAAACTTGAGTAATGCCACAATGAAAGACACAAAGTGTTAAGTTGGAGAGATTGTCTGTTGGGGTTTAATTTTAGAAAAGTATCACAAGAGGTTGGCCTGTGGCTTGGTAGTTGGGAGAGCAGGATCCGACATGGCCTACTGCATGGTTTGAGTCTTAGTCTTTGTGGCTTTGTGCCAAGCCCATGTGCATGTGTGCCTAAAGTCCCATCAGAGTAGAGAGATGGAGAGAGGATTGTGGCATGACTGTGCCCCACTGGGGGTGGTTTCTCCCCACCCCTTCCCAATATGGTAAGGATATATAACCTCTGTCAAATAAATAAATCAGAAAAGTATCACAAGATTGGCAGACATTGGGCCAGCAGGTGGCGTCAAAATTAAAGCACTAGGGAACCAGCAGTTAGCGTAATGGCTATGTCGCTGGACTCCCACATAGTCGACCATGGTTCATGTCCCGGACCTGGTAGCTTAGAACTCATGCCGGGCGCGTGTGCGTGTGTGCCCAAGATCCCGAGAGGAGATGGAGGAGAAGGGATTGCGGCGTGACCATCTCCCCCGGAGGGTGATTTCTCGCTTTCTGTCTCTATATCTCTCTCTGTCTGGTGAGCGCACGCGCCCTATAGCGAAAACCTCTAAAAAAAACAAAGCACTAGATGCTGCATGGCCAATTGCAGTTCAGTCACGAACCCAGCAGCTTGAAAGTCACATCAGGCATGTATGTGTGCATGACCTGAAAGAGGATTGCAGCCTGGCCACCCCTTCTGGGGATTGTTTTCTCACCTTTCTTTTCTGTCTCTCTCTGGCGGGCAGATATATCCTATAGTAAAAACTAAAAACTTAATAAAAAAGATTGACAGATTTTGAGAATTCTGTCGCTTGGATCAGTTCTACAAACATGCAACATTTTGGGTATTTTAATTTCTTTTTTAGGGGAGAAGAGCATGCATGCACATGCACCTGATATTTTTCAAACTACAGGGGCCAGGACTTGAACCATGCAAGTGACCATTTGTGGTCTGGTTCCCTTATAACCAGTAGGCATGGGGCCAGACTGATGCTTTCACTTCTTTAAATAAAAGAGTATTTTTTTGTGTGATTATAAGAATAAAATATTTAGTACCAGTTGAGTACCTGTTTGTATTAGGCACAAAGTCAAATATATAAACATCATTTTGAAAATTTTGGAAAACAGACATATAGGAAAGAATAAAAATCATTCATAAACTGGGCATAGTGGCTAAGTGCTGGATCCAACAGAGCTAATGCTGCAGTTCGAGTCCTAGACCTGGTAACTTAAAATCACACTGGGTGCCTGCGTGCGGTGCCCAGAATCCCAAGATGAGAATGAAGAAGGGATTGCGGTATGACTATCCTCCCGGGGTGGGGGGGGGCATTTCTCACTTTCCCTCTCTTTCTGTCTCTCCTGTGTGTACGTGCCCTATAGCAGAAACCTTAAAAAAAAAGTCATAAACGTATTTATTCACTGTCAACAGTTGGGTTTAGTTCCCTGTGGTATATTACATACACACATAGACACACTCATATGGACTTCAGAATGTTCATAGAAAAATAGAATTAAAGTTGGAGTTTACTCTGGTGCAAGAAAGATTTGAAATCCTTGCAGATATTTTTCATAATATGAATTTTTTATGAGCTTTTCGAAGGCCCTTCATTTTCTTTCTTTCATAGTTAGCATCATGAACATTCAATATTGTTTTGTTTTAGCCATTTAACCTTGTAAGTCTGGTTCCACATTATTAAGAACTCTTTGTAAATATTTTTTTGTTTGTGTATTTCTTCCATGAGAGGGAAACAAGAGAGAGACAGTCACCTACAGTAGGGTCTTCATGGCCTGATCCACCCCAACCCCAGTCAGCCAGTGAAGGGAGCGAGCATGCGTGCCTGACTGCATGGGGAAACCTCGGAGGGGAAACTGGGACCCACTTGTGTGACTTCAGCACTGCAGAGGTGCATTACTGTTGTGCCACTGGCCTTTCCTGTACATTTTTTTTTTTTTTATCTTTTTCTTCTATGAGAGAGAGAAAGAAAGACAGAGAGAGAAAGAGGCACTTCCTCCCCACAGGGTCCTCACATTGCAGTTCACCCCTGGTCTCAGCCAGCCCTCAATGGCCATACAAGTGCACACTTGACCTGCACAGGATGGTCTTGGGATGTGTGGTTTTATTTGCATTTGCAGGTCACTGTCTGACCCTGTGAGTATTTTTTTAAAACAAATTTTTTATATAGGGCATGTGTACTCGCCTGAGAGAGACAGAGAAAGAGAGGGAAGGTGAGAAATCACCTCCCGGTGTGTGTGGGGGGTAGACACACCACAGTCCTTTGTCCTCCAGTCTTCTCTTGGGATTTTGTGCCCACATGCACATACAACCAGCGTGATTTTCAAGCTGCTGTATCTGGGATTTGAACTGCACAGCTGGCCATGTCGGATCCAGTGCCTTAATCTCTGCATCACCTGCTGGCCTGCCTGTAAGTATTTATTTATTTATTTTTAGAGAGATTTTTGCTCTAGGGCACATGTGCTTGCTGGAGAGATTGAGATAGACAGACAACAAGAAAGGATCCCCTGGCGATGGCCAGGCCGCAATCCTTTCTTCTACATTCTCTTCTCTGATTTTGGGCACACATGCACGCATGCCCAGCTTGAGTTTCAAGCTGCCCGGTCCAGGACTCGAACCATGGTCAGCCATGTGGGAGTCCAGTGATAAAACCATTATGCCATCTCCTGGTCCCTGCCTGTAAATATTTTTAATGGCTAGATAATACCCATCACATGACCGTAAAATAAATTCATTTAACTATTTCCCATTATTGAGTATGTAGATTTTCAAATTTTACTAAAAAAATATGATTAATACCATAACACAAATATTTCCCTGGATTTTAGATTATTTTCTTGAGTTAGTTTTCTAGACAGTTCCCTTAACCACCATGCCACCTGCCGGCCTCCCTGAATATTCTGATTGCTTTAATATACTAATTTAATCCTTTTAAAAGTAACTCAAATTAAAAAAAATATTTTAAGTTTATTTTTAATTTTTTTATTTTTATTTATTATTATTTTAATGTGACCAGAGAGAGAGAGAGAAAGTGAGAAATCCAAGACTTGAATCGAACCATGGGCAGTCATGTGGGAGTGCAGACCTTTTTTTAAAAAATAATTATTTTATTTAACTTTGTTTATTTTTCATTTGACCGCAGAGGGACAGAGTGAGAGAGAAGGAAAGTGAGAAAGCAAGCTGTCAGGTCCAGGACTCAAACCATGGTTGGCCATGTAGGCCAGCGCCCTTAACCACCACGCTACCTGCCAGCCCCTCAATTTTGTTTTATCTTAGATTGGATTATTCCTTCCACTACTTCTAAGCTTAAGGATTCTTGTGTGTGTGTGTGTGTGTGTGTGTGTGTGTGTTTTAATTTGCAGGAGATTGTGTGTGGCTGTTAGAGAGAAAGAGAAAGAGAAAGGGTGAGAGAGAGGGAAAGGGAGAGGGAGGAAGCACCCCCTGGTGGGTATCGTACACACGCTCTCTGTCTGTTTGGCGAGCGCATGTGCCCTATAGCGAAAACCTCTCAAAAAAAAAAAAAAAAAAGACAGAGAGAAAACGAGAAATCACCCCCCAGGGAGGATGGTCACGCCGCAATCCCTTCTCCTCCATTCTCCTCTTGGGATCTTGGGCATGCACGCACACGTGCCTGGCATAAGTTTAAGCCGCTGGGTCCAGGACTTGAACCGCGGTCGACTACGTGGGAGTCCAGCAACATAGCCATTACGCTAACTGCTGGTCCCATAAACTCCCAGTTTTTAATTCTTTGAACAATTACTGTCTTGGTCGTGGGACTCCTACCATGATGATTTTGGAAAGGAGGAATAGAGACTAGGATAAATTGTATGTCCTGCTTTTGCTGATCTATTAATTTTGCTCTTTTTGTTCCTCCCCCTTACAGGTGTTTGAAAGTTAGCATCGTACCTAGTGAGATTTCCATCGTGGTCTATGCTATCTCCATGCTTCCCTCTCCTCACCTAGATGAATTGGATATATGCCGAATTGAAGCAGTTTTACCACAGTGTAACCTAACTGTCCTGAATCGCTTCGCCATGTCTGTTCTAAGATGGATTCAGCATGATCACAAATGTTTGAATAGTATTACTGGAAAACAACTGAAACTACTTCAAAAATTAGACCATTATGGTCATCAGAGACTGCAACAGAGTAACAATTTAAATCTGTTATGGGAGGAACTTAAATCTTTAAAAGGAGACTGGTTTCCTGAGACACTTCTTGAAGAAACAGCAGTTACATTACAGCGTTTGATGGATGAAATTAATTACATGAATGTTACAGGAGTTGCATCTTTTATTTCTAGAACTAACTACCTCGATACTTTGCTACTTGATAGGATAGCCTCAGTGGTTATTCAGCAGATTGAAAAGGTCAAGTTAAAATTTCATGTATTAGTTTTATATAGTTGTGAACTTCTAGAAGCTTAATTTTTATCATAAGTACTTTGAGAACTTTGATCAGAATTTAATATTTAAAAAGTAAACTCTGGGGACCAGCAGATGGCACAATGGTTACATTGCTAGGTTCCCATATAGTCAACCGTGGTTTGAGTCCCAGACCTGGTGGCTTAAAACTCACGGCATGTGCTTGTGCATGTGTTCCCAAAATCTCAAGAGGAGCATGGAGGTGAAGGGATTGTGGTGTGGCCATCCCCCCGGGGGTGATTTCTGGCTTTCTGTCTATCTTTCTCTGTCTCTCTGGCAAGTGCATGTGCCTATAGCAAAAAAATCTCTCCCTTAAAAAAAAGAAAAAAAGACAACTAAACTCTGGGGCCAGCCCCATGGTCTAGTGGTTAAGGGAGCTGGATCCCATATGGCCAACTGTAGTTTAAATCCCAGCCCTGGGGGCTTGAGAATCATTGAGTCACATGTGCTATGTGTTCAAGTCTCAAAAGGATGGAGAAATGGATGGGAACCAGCAGTTAGCGTAATGGCTATGTCGCTGGACTCCCATGTAGTCGACCGCAGTTCGCGTCCTGGACCCGGTGGCTTAGAACTCATGCCCGGCGTGTGTGCGTGCGTGCCCAAGATCCCGAGAGGAGAATGGAGGAGAAGGGATTGCAGCGTGACCATCCCCCCTGGGGGGTGATTTCTCGCTTTCTGTCTCTCTGTCTCTCTCTGTCTGGTGAGCGCACGCGCCCTATATAAAAAAAAAGCATGGAGAAATGGAGAAGGGACTGTGGCGTGACCATGCCCCTTTGGGGGTGCTTTCTCTCTCTCTCCCTTTCCCCTTTATCTGTCTTTCTCTGGAGAGGGCATATGCCCTCTGGCAAAAAAAAAAAAAAAAAAAAAAAAAATTGGTTTTCAGTTCAGAAATTGTTCCTCCCCTTAAAGCCATTTTCTTCCTTCAGCATTGCAGATTTGTAGAGATCTGTGGTCATTCTTTTGGATCATTACAATATTGTTAAGATCAGTAATAAGAATTCTTTAACTAGAAGGAAATACTTAGAACAATATTAGGTGTATTAGGATAGTGGAATATGATTCATTTTTGTTTTTCTTTTGTAAAATTTGCTGTAATCATATTTAGAAGCAATTATAATAAATAGTGCTTACCTTGTAGTGAGAAAATACTGACATCGGTTTTCTTAACTTGTCAGTGTTACCTTCCTATAGGTTTATTTCTTGAATTTACTTGTAAAATGCTGCTTTATAAGTCGTATGAGAAGTCCACTTACGAAATAACTATGGTATTAAAACCTAACTTAGATTAAGACCTTTACTTAGGAAACCAGCAGATGGCATAATGGTTACATCGCTAGACTTCCACTGTGTTTTGAGTTCTGTACCCAGTGGATGGAAACTTAAATCGAGTGTATGTGTGTGCGTGTTTAAGATCCTGAGAGGAGCATGGAGGAGAAGGGATTGCAGCATGGCCATCCCCCTGGGGGGTGATTTCTTGCTTTCTGTCTCTCTGGCAAGCATACGCACCCTATAGCAAAAATATCTCTCTAAAAAAAAGAAGACGTTTACTTAGAAGGTAAGTGTTTCTCACAAATCAAAATTAGGGTCTGTCTTATTTGTTTAACATAATGCCTAGAGTCAGTAAGTATTGTATGAGAGGTGAATAAAGAAATAAAAGTACATATTAATGACTATAAGTTAAGAAACTTCTTTAATTACATTATGTGATACTATAAAATATACTGATAGCATGGAAATAAGTGATATTGTTTCTTACTCATTGTAATGACTAATGAATTCTGGAGCAGTATTTTACACCTAACAAAATTAATTTGTAGGGCTAGCTCGATAGTGGTTAAAGGAGCTGAATCCCACATGGCCAACTGTGTGGTTCGAATCCCAGCCCTGGTGGCTGGATATGTATGTGTAAATGTCCCAGATCCCAACAGGATGGAGAAATGGAGGAGAGGTTGTTGCACGGTCACTCCCCACTGGTGGGAAAATTTTCCCCCTCCCTCTCTCTTTCTCTGGTGAGCACAAGTGACCTTTGGCAAGTAAAAAAAAATCAATTAATTTGTTAGTCATCTGATTTATTTTTTTTTCTGCATATTTGTAACTTTCAGAGTTGCTCATAGTGGTAGGATAAATAAATAACAGCAGAGTGGAAAAGTTAGTAAGCAGAGTGTTTACTAACTTTCGTCATTTAACTGTAGGCATGTTAGAAAAAGGCTTCACATCTAAAATAATAATTAGGTTAAAGTAGAAAAACAATATGCTAGAGGGCACGTGCACTTTGCAGAGAGAGACAGAGAGAGAGAGAGAGAGAAAGCACCCTTTGGCAGATGGTCGCACTGTAGTTTCCTTTTCCATTTCTCCTTTCATGCTTTTTGGGCACACATACACATGTGCCTGGAATGTTTCTCAAGCCACCGAGTCTGGGACTCGAACTGTGCAGGGGGCATGTAGGATCTAGCCATCTTAAACATCATGCCACTAACTGGCCCCCAAATTTTGTTTTGATTTACTGAAGTTTAAGTTATAAATATTTTGTTTTATTTACACAGATCCATCCTTTTGCTATTCTTGGTATTATTCTTCCATTCAGCATCTTGAACTATGATCCACCTCAGAGGGATGAATTTTTTGGAACTTGCATACAACACCTGAATTCTTACTTCGGTAGGTACATTGTTTGATTGAGTGAGTCGGTCAGAGAATACCTGCTACTGTTGAGCTAAGAGAAGTCCTTTAATTAAAAGCTAACTAGGGGCCGGCAGGTGGTGTGGTGGCTAAGGGCACTGGACTCCCACATGGCTGACCACGGTTTGAGTCCTGGGCCTGGTAGCTTGTTTTCTCACTTTCCATCTCTCTCCCTCTCTCTCATTCTGTACCTCTCTGATAAAATTTTAGAATAAGATAAAATAAAAAAGGCTAATTATAATAGACATGAATTCCATATGTAAGTATTTTGTATCATTTTTGAAACTTTTTATTCTGCTAAGTGTGAAGCATATAAAACTTGAAAGGATCAAACAAAAATGGGCCACTTGCTGACCTGGAGGTTAAAGTGGTTGGGTCCCACATGGCTGACTGTGCAGTTGGAGTCCTAGACCCAACAACTTGAAAGGTTTGCTGGGCATGTGTGCGTGTGTGCCCGCCCAAAATCCCAAGAGGAGAATGTAGGAGAAGGGAACTACAGTTTGACCATCTGCTTACTTAGAACTTCTACCTCCAGCACAAGGTGTAAGGCTCTCTGTTAGGGTACATTCATATAGCCCCATAGACAGACCCCTGGTGAAGCTTAGCTTATGCCGGTAAGCATGTAAATAATATCTGTGTCTTGCTAATGGGCTTGGCTACATTTTTGTGTGGTCTGTGGGCCAGAGCGTTTAACCGTGTCTGATACTGTAGTGCTGTGAACAGACAGTAAAATGGGACAGTGATGTGTACATATACATTCACATGTATATTGTACATGTGTCTGCATGTATGGCATTCATTTACACCTCTTAATTATGCAAAAGGTCTTTTTATTTATTTTTTTAGAGAGATATTTGCTATAGGGCACATGTACTCACCAGAGAGACAGACAGAGACAGAGAGATAGAAAGTGAAAAATCATTCCCCCTTTCTGGGGGATAGGCACACCACAATCCCTTCTTCATTCTCCTCTCAAAATTTTGGGGACACATGTACATATGTCCAGCATGAGTTTCAAGATGCCAGGTCTGGGACTTGAACCATGATCAGCCATGCGGGAGTCCTGTGATGTAACCATTATGCCATCTGCTAGTCCCCAGAGGGTCTTCAAAAATTCATGGAGGGAACCAGCAGTTAGCGTAATGGCTATGTCGCTGGACTCCCACGTAGTCGACCGCGGTTCGCGTCTCGGACCCGGTGGCTTAAATCTCACGCCAGGCGCGTGTGCGTGCGTGCCCAAGATCCCGAGAGGAGAATGGAGGAGAAGGGATTGCGGCGTGACCATCCCCCCTGGGGGGTGATTTCTCGCTTTCTGTCTCTATGTCTCTGTCTGGCAAGCGCACGCGCCCTATAGCGAAAACCTCTCCAAAAAAAAAAAAAAATTCATGGAAATGGGTATTATGGAAAAACTATGTAATGAGGCCTGCAGGTGGCATGGTGGTCAAGGTGCTGGATTCCCACAATGGCTGGCTACAGTCTGAGTGCCAGACCTGGCAGCTTGCTTTCTCACTTTCCCTTTCCCTTTCTGTCTTTCCCTGTTCTTTTTTTTTTTTTTTAAGAGAGGTTTTTGCTGTAGGGCACGTGCACTCTCCGGAGAGACAGAAACAGAGAGAGAGAGAACAAGAAATCACGAGAAGCAATCCCTTCTCCTCCATTCTCCTCTCAGGATTTTGAGCATGCACACACACGCACCCAGTATGAGTTTTAAGCCGCCAGGTCTGGGACTTGAACTGCGGTTGACTACATGGGAGTCCAGTGATGTAACCATTATGCCATCCGCTGGACCCTTTCTCTGGTCAAATTAAAAAAATAAGTAAATAAAATTAAATAATTCCTTTTTTAAAAAAGAGGCTTTTGCCTTAGGGTGCATGTGCTTACCAGAGAGAGAGAAAAAGAGAGATAGAGACAATGAGAGGGAAAGTAAGAAGTTACTCCCCAAGGGGGCTGGCCATGCTGCAATCCCTTCTCCTCTGTTCTCCTGGGATCTTAGGCATGCGTGCACATGTACCTGGCATGTGTTTCAAGCCACTGGGTCTGGGCCTCGAACCGTGATCAGCCATGTTGGAGTACAGCACCTTAACCACTACCGTCATACAACTATTTGTTGAAAGTGCCCACAGGTGGTGTAGTGGTTAAGGCACTAGACTCCCATGTGGCCAACTGCAGTTTGAGCCCTGGCCCTGGTGGCTTGAAACATATACTGGATGCATGTGCGTTTGTGCCTAGAATCCTGAAGGGGGATAGCCACACTGCAATCCCTTTTCCTCCATTCTGCTCGTGGGATTTTGGGCACGCATGTGCATGCACCCGATGTGAGTTTTAAGTTGCTGGGTCCAGGACTCAAACTGCAGTTGACTATGTGGGAGTGCAGTAACATAAACTTTACGCCATCTTCTGTTCCCTATAAATAAAATTTTAAATAATTAGTGGGGTAACAATTTTTTTGTTTTGAATAAAAATTAGTTTTCACAGATCCATTTTGCTGGTGGAGATCATTGCTATTAACCTAATTTATGACTTAGTTTTGGTTTAATAAATAAATTCAGCCAAAAATGCAAAGGGAAAGATTTAATGTTATCTTTCTTCCTTTTTAATAATATTGATGTCAATGGGGATCTTTAGGTGACACCTCCCCCCACATCAGAAATGTCTCTTGGACGAGGCAGATCAGGCCAGGCCTTACACTGTGAATATCGGCCATGCTGCTGGGTAACAGGTGAGGGAGGAGGTGCTAGGTTAAGCCCGAGCCTCAGATGTGCATGCTCATCTCATATGTACTCCTTGGCCTGGAGATTGGAGTTCCCAGAGGGCAGCATGGTATAGTGTGTTCCTGGCTCTAGAGCTAGGTTCGTGGTTCACCTGCCCTCCACGGACTAAGTGTAATCTTGAGCGAGTCATTTATCTTCACTGTGCCTTCTTACTCTCATGTATAGAGCAGAGATAATGATTGTTCTTAATTATGTAATAGTTAAGAAATAAGTTTATTTGCCAGAGAGAGAGGGAGGAAGCGACCCTCAGTGGGGCGTGGTTACACCACAATGCTTTTTCCTTCATTTCTCTGTCCCGTTTGGGTTTTGAATATGCACACATGCGCTCAGTGTGTTTTTGAGCCTCTAGGTCTGGGATTCAAACCATGGTTGGCCACATGGGATCTGGCTCTGGATGCGTGGTACTTGGCTCACCACTGTTCTACATGGCTGGCGCAGCAATGAGGTTTGAATGAGCCGGTATATGGAACGTGCTTAGAATACCTCACACACTCCGAGCACTGTTACGTCGTCATCACCAATACACAGACGCTGGGACCGCCTGTCCTTTTCACATACACCACTCTCCTTTTGTTTTGAATTCTTTCTCTTTTCAAAGTTATTTTTAAAACTTATTAAAGTGTAATAATGGAACCATTCATATAACTTTAGTATAATGTGAATTTATACAAATTGAATCACCTGGAAATCTGTACCCGGGTCAGGAGACAGAATATTAGCACAGTATCCTTCTCCTCTTGTCCCCTTTTCCTATTCTACCCACACTCAAACTTAACCACTATCTGGACTTGTAACAACATAGATTAATATGGTCAAGGCAAAACAGTTTTGTGTTTGTATCTTATTTTTTTAAGAATTATTTTATTTAACTTTTATTTACTTTATTATTTTTTTAAAATTTGACCATAGAGAGGGACAGAGTGTGTGTGGAGAGGAAGAGGGAGAAGGAGGGGGAGGGAGAGAGAGAGAGAGAGAGTAAGAAAGCAAGCTGCCAGGTCAGGGACTTAATCCTTAACAATCACGCCAGCAGCTGGAATCACGCCAACTGCTGGCCCCTGTATCAGTTTTTAAAAATGTGGCTTGGGGCCAGCAGATGACATAGCAGTTACATTGCTGGACTCCCACAGAGCTGACCATGGTTTGAGTCCTGGACCCAGTGGCTTGAAAACCATGCTGCAAGTGTGTGTGTGTGCGCATTCCCAAGATCCTGGGAGGAGAACAGGGAAGGAATTGTGGCATAGCCAAACATCTGGGTGGTGAGTTCTCACGTTTCCTCTCACTGTGGCTGTCTCTTTCTTTTACCCATGAGCATATGAACCCGAAGGCCAAAACCTCTTTGGAAACAAACAAAAAACCTGGCTTTGTCTGAATCAAATATATATGTAAGGTGGCTGTACATTATAATTTTTAAAAGAAATCTTAATTTCTTTTTAGGCATAATGGATCCTATCATGTTAGTGTTTCTTGGTTTCTCTTTGGCTACACTTGAATATTTTCCAGAAGATCTGCTAAAGGCAATTTTTAACATCAAATTCTTAGCCAGACTGGATTCTCAACTTGAAAGTATGTTATCTACACTTTAACTTATTAAATTATCACTTTTTTAGTTGTTTATTTTTTTTTGCTACAGGTTGTGTGTGAATTATCACTTGTATTCTTTTATCCATGTTTCAGCTATATTGGAGCATTTAAACATCTGTTTCTACTTATAAAAGTATTTTATGTTTATTGTAGAAAATTTAGGAAGCATATATAAGTATCAAGTAGAAAATAAAAAATTATCCATAAGCATACCAAGTAAAACAACCATTTTAATGTTTTGAAGTATGTCTTCTCTGTTTTTCTCTTGAAAGGGAGTTTTTTTTTTTTTTTTTTTTTTTCTAGCTTTGGGCTTCTATAAGGTTAGAAAACAAGTTTACCCCTTTGCTGACATAAATTTTTTTGAAGAGCTCAAAACTCTCTCATTCAAAATTATTGAAAACAACATAGGAGTAGGTCCTAATCATTCCAAATGAATGTAATAATTAAAAATATAAAGTACTTTTATGCAAATGAAGTGATTTTTATGATCTGAGACTAAAGGTACCAACCAATAGTGGATATAAATGAATGTGAAAATGGGTTATCTTTGCTGGGCCTAAGCTATCAAAATCATCAGTATGTTATTTTTAATTGTAGTTTTATCTTCGTCTCTAAGTGCAAGGGTCCAGTTTCGTCTCATGGAGTTGAATAGAGCGGTTTGCTTGGAATGTCCTGAGTTTCAGATTCCATGGTTTCATGACGGCTTCTGTCAACAACAATATAATAAAGGTTTGAGGTTTCTTTTGGTAACGCTACTTCTAAAGTAAATCAGTAGGTAGCACGGTGTTATTGTTAAACCTAAACGTGATAGCAAGGTTCCCATGAGCAGTGTAGCCTGTTCGGTTTTTATTGTAGGTCACATTTATATTAAGTCTGTCTTGGCTGTCAGGTCAAGCCCAGCTGCAGTGGCATGTGCTGAGTGCTGCTGATGGGCAGACTGAGCCACTCAGCAGCCGGGTCTGGGACTTGAGCCACACAGCCTGCCATGTGCAATCCAGCTGCCTTAACCCTCCACACCGTGGGCTAGCCCTTAAATACAGTTTTTAGGAGCCAGCAGGTGGTGTAATAGTTAAGGCTCTGGACACACCCATGGCCAACCACAGTTGAGTCCCCACATCTGGTGGCTTGAAACTCACACCAGGACCATGTGCGTGTGTGCCTGAAATTCCAGGGATACAATGGAGAGGGGACCGTGGCATGACCATCCCCCTGGGGAGTGATTTCTCATTTTTCCTTTCTTTGTCTCTCTGGCAAGCACACATGCCCTATGGAAAAAACTGCAAAGAAAAAAGTTTTTAAAAATTTTTCCATAGGCTACTTGTGCTTGCCAGAAAGAGACAAAGGGGAAGAGAGGGAGTGAGAAACTACCCCCCAGGGGAATGACTACCCACAATCCCTTTTCCTCCACTCCCTTCTCAGGATTTTGGGCTCTCATGCACACATGCCCAACATATTTTTCTAGCCATCATGTCTGGGACTCGAATCATGGGTGGCCAGGTTCAGTCCCTGGCCTGCCCCAGAACAGCTGGGGTGGGAGGATCACAGCATAACAAAACCATCTAAAACACACACACACACACACACACATGCAGTACCATACTGCACACACAAACACACAGCAAAGAAATTGTCTTAACTGAATTGTCAATGAATTTAGTGGTATTACATTGATGTTCTTATTGGAAATGCTCATTATTATTTTTCATTTTATAGAATTGTGATGATTTTTATTCAAAAGTGAATTAACCTAAGTGGACTACTATTTTTATTTTTATAAAGATATTGGCGGCATGAATGGAGCACAACAGCAGATTCATAAAATGTTAACAGAGGTAGTAGGAGGAATCAATTGTGTAAGAGCCTCCGTTCTTACACCTTATTACCACATAGTAGGTAAGTCATTGGTAGCTGAAGAGAATCATCTCCCCAGTTGGAATTTTAAAATGTTGTCATGAAAGTTTGCCGACGGGCCGGCAGGTGGCGTGGTTAAGGCACTGGGTTCCCATATTCTGACTGCAGTTTGAGTCCTGGACCTGGAGGCTTGCTTTCTCACTTTCCCTCTCTGTCTCTCTCTGGTCAAATTAAAATAAATAAATAAATCTGGTCAGATTAAAATAATAAATAAATACATTTAAAAAGATTGGCAGACAAAAGTAGAAAGAACAATACAATGTGTCCTCAGGTTCCCTTGGTGCATGTTTGATAACCATCAGCATTTTTCTGTTCTTCAGGAAAAAAAAGTTTAAAGTCAGTCTTCCACCAATTCTAAGTCAAACCCAGATTCAGATTCACTGAATATATCTGGCTCTTAAAAAGATTCTGTCCTTTCGGGACCAACGGATGGCATAATGGTTTTGTTGCTGGACTCCTGTGTTGTCGACTGTGGTTTGAGTCTTGGACCGGCTGGTGGCTTAAAACTCACGCCAGGTGTGTGTGCGTGCATGCCCAAAATCCTGAGAGGAGAATGGAGGAGAAGGGCATATGGCATGGCCATCCCCCCTGGGGAGTGATTTCTTGCTTTCTGTTGGTGAGCGCACGTGCCCTATAGCAAAAAATCTCTTAAAAAAAAGATTCTGTCCTCTCCAATCAGTACACAGAAGTCAGAGAGATGACTTATCTCGATTTCATTGTTTGTAAATTCATGTCAGAAACTAACATGGATTATCAACCTGGAGAAAGACTTCTAAAAGTATTGTGCACAGCCCTTACCTGATTGACTTTGTTTCTCAGGTGACAGAGTTGTAGAAGGCATTCTGGTTTAATTGTGGATGCTATTAAGATAGTGGGGTTAGCTTCTGCTGGATGGCAACATAAAATTCAAGGAGGATTGGCTTGGAGCCTGGTGGTTAAAGGAGCTGGATCTCATATGGCCAACCACCTGGTTTGGCCACATGAAACCTGGCCACAACAGTTTGAAAAGGGCTAGACCTGTGCTGTGTGGTCCAAAACCAAAAGCCTGAAAGGATGAAGGAGAAGGGATTGTAGTGTGACCATGTCTCATTGAGGGGTGTTCTCTCCCTGTCTCTGTTTCTCTCTCTCTGATGAGTGCACATGCCACTTGGCAAAAAAAAAAAAAAACCCTGCTAAGTTGAAGTGGTAGGCTTAAATGAAAGGGATAAAATTTTAAGAGAATTTACATAATTTCTAAATTTTCTTTTAGAAATGTGTATATATACAGGACATTTTAAAGGATTATAAGCTTGGTATAAGTAAACAATATATTGGTTGCCAAGAATCAAATATTATGCTGAACTGTATTATTATTTTCTTTTCCTGTTTTAAAAATTACTTTATTTAACTTTTTTTGGAGAGGTTTTTGCTATAGGGCGCTCTGGTGTGCACTCACTAGAAAGACAGAGAGAGACAGAGAGACAGAAAGTGAGAAATCACCCCCCAGGAAGGATGGCCATGCCACAATCCCTTCTCCTCTATTCTCCTCTTGGGATCTTGGGCATGCACGCACAAGTGCATGGCATGAGTTTAAGCCATTGGGTCCGGGACTTGAACCACAGTTGACTATGAGAGTCCAGCGACATAGCCATTATGCCAGCTGCTGGTCTTGCACCCAGCATATTTTTCAAGCCACTGGGTCCCAGACTTGAATTGCAGGGTCAAGCATGTGAGATCCAGCTGTCTTAACCACTAGGCCATGGGCTGTCTATACTTTGTCTTTTTAAGTTGTACCTTTCTTCCTTTAAAAGCATTTTAGAACTTATTTATTGAGAAAAAAATGAATATCCTCTACTTTTTTGTATGCTACCTTGTTATGTCGTTTTACATATTCCTGTTTTCCTTGTATTTCTCATAATCAAGTAGCTATAGCGGATTGGTTAGATTTTAGGGATTTCTTTGGCCACACTACTTTATAGGTGGTGTGTATCATATTGGGAGACACACAATAGAAATTTTTTTTCCTATTATATTAAGACTTAATCATTAAACTTGTATATAATCAACCAATTCATCCAATAGAAAGTTCCCACATCACTTCTTCATGTACTGATTTTAGCAAAAATGAACGATCACTAGTTTCCTAAATCCATCATAATCTCTCATTCATTAGGTATAGCAAAGTAACAATATTCTACATCTATTATTTCTTTTGCATTTATTAACTACATTTTGTCAAAAAAGAACTTTTCCCTATTGAGTTCTTTTTAGTTATTCTTATGTACTTTATGTCCTTTTATGTAGGAAAAAACAGGATAAATGCTTGAATCTTTACTACCTTTCAGATGGTTTCATTTCCTTCAATGTGACCAAGATGCTTAAGGAGATTAAAGTAAAACTCTCTGGGCCAGCATGCGGCTTGGTGCTTAAGGCGCTGGATTCCCACATGGCAGACTACAGTTTGAGTCCTGGACCTGGTGGCTTGCTTTCTCACTTTCTCTCTCTCCCTCTGATCTAATTGAAAAGTAATGACAATAAATAATATTAAATAAATAATTCTTTAACAAACAAACAAAATTCCCCAAAACTCTTCAATGTTATTTAACCTAGCTCAGTGCTAAATGTAGCCACATGCTAAATATAGTTTAGTAGTTCTTGCTGGCTGTCTCGCCCACCCCCTGCCCCCGTAGAGATTTTTGCCTTAGGGCACACACACTAGCTGGAGAGAGAGAAAGACGAGTCAGTGAGAGGGAAAGTGAGAAATCACCCCCTGGAGGATGGCCATGCTACAATCCCTTCCCCTCCCAGGATCTTGGGCACACGCACATATATGTGCCAGGTGCGTTTCAAGCCACTGGGTCCGACATGCTGTCGGTACACAGTGTTCATCACTGATCTGGAGTTTGTTCTCTTTTAAAGTTTTCAATTAGCAATAATCGCGCCTCGGATAACCCTCATTGGCTACGATACTGCCACTGCGCAAAGCTACCGCTGTTATTTTGAGTGAGATTTTTGCTATAGGATGTGTGCACTCACCAGAGAGACAGAGAGACAGAAAGTGAGAAATCACCCCCTCCCTGGGAGGATAGCCACATTGCAGTCCTTTCTCCTCCATTTTTCTCTCAGGATTTTGGGCATGCATGAACATGTGCCTGGCATGAGTTTTGAGTGATGGGGTCCAGCACTTGAACTACAGTCGATCACATGGAAGGGTCCCTGAACAAGATCTTATAAAACAAGTTATATAATTAGAGAGGCTCATTATTCGTGTGTGTGTGTGTGTGTGTGTGTGTATGCGTGTGTATGCATATATGTGGGGTGGTCTTAAAAAGTTCATGGAAATATGTATTATAAAAACCTATGCATGGATTTCAAAACTTTATTTGCAGGCCAGCAGGTGATGTGGTGGTTAAGGTGCTGGACTCCCATATGGCCGACAGTGGGTCGAGGCGCTAGTGTGGTTAGGCCATAGATGAAATATATATGTGAATTACAATAATAATAATAATAATAATAATAATAATAATAATAATAATGATGATGATGAAGAAAAAGTTGCACCAAAATAAACTTACATTTTATATAATTCCATTTTTCAATGAACTCTGAAGTCTCTTCTTATATCTAAAATGTGTCTTAAAATGTTATCTATACAAATTCATCTAATTCATGGGGCTGGCCCAGCAGTGCAGTGGTTAAGCATGTGGTTTACTACCGGTCGAGTTCCAGACCTGAGGCTTGAAAATCAAGCCAGGCAAGTGTGTGTGCATGCTCAAAATCCCAAGAGGAGAATGGAGGAGAAGGGATTGTGGTGTGGCCATCTCTCACTTTTGCTTTTTCTCTCTCTCTCTCCTTTCTGGTGAGGGCACATGACTTATGACAAAAGCCTAAAAAAAATGACCTAATTCACATTATGATTCCTATATTTAAGGTTTTGAGTGTATCTTGGATAAAAGGAAAAAACCTCTTCCTTATGGAAGCCATAATATAACTTTAGGAAAACTACCAGAAATGCACTGGGAATCAAATACCCAAGTAGTTGGATCAAGGCTGCCACCAGGAGCAGAAAGGTAATTGCTTTCCTAGTTCTAGATTTTATCTAAGTGTTAAATATGGCATGATAGAATGAACTCAGTTATCAAGGACTGATTATAGCTGAATCTGTTCTTCATGCCTCTCACACATTGTACCTCTGCTCCTCCGCTTTTCCTGTGCCTTTGTCCTTCAGGTCCTTCCCTCACCTGCCCTAAGCCTAACATTCTCACTAATGGTCTAATCTAGTTTTCTTCAACTGGAAATACGTTGTGTCTTCTTCTTTTGTGCTTCCAGATCTCTCTCCTTTCCTGCTAGCACTTACTGGCTCCCTACACAGCATTACCGACTAGTTATCTGTGGTTAGACTGTAAGCTCCGGTGCTTTACTGTATCCCCCAGTGCCCTACGTACAGGAGTGTCGGAAATACATATTGGTGAAATAAATGGATGAAAACAGGCAACTGTCTACTATAATTTGATATAAATGAATAGGTTTAATTGTCGTCAGTTACTGATTCCTGAAGTAGAAAAATAACTTGGTACATCCATTTACATTCATTTGGTCTTTGTTAGTTTATAAAGCTGCAACCTTGTTCATGAAAGGCTTGTAGATATTTAGTTGCTCATTTTGATTTCTGAAGTAAATATTTATTTTATCTTATGTAGGATTGCTTTGGAATTTTTGGATTCGAGAGCTTTTTGCAGAAATATCCCTCACATAAAAGGAAAATCTGCTATGAAAAAACGACATTTGGAAATTTTGGGCTACCGAGTAATCCAGGTATGAAGTATTCATGTAATTCAGCTCCTAAAAAGCCCAGAAACAGTGGCTATAGTTTCCTTTTTTTTTTTTTTTTTTTTTTTTTTTTAAGTTTTTTGTGTTAGGGTTTGTGCACTTGGCAGAGAGAGACAGAGGGAGGTTAAGTGAGAAATCACTTCCTAGATTAATGACCACATGGCAATCCCTTCTCCTCCATTATTCTCTCAGGATTTTAGGCACACATGCACATATACCCAGCATGATTTTAAAGCCATTGATTTGGGACTTGAACCAAAGTTGACCATGTGGGAGTCTAGCACCTTAATCACAATGTTACCTGCTGGCTCCCACATGTTTCCTTTTATATGAAAGTTACAGAATTACCTTTTTTATATTAAAAAAATCAGGGCTGGCCCCATAGTGCAATGGTTGAGCCCCATGCATAGGGAGTTAGATCACATATTGGTGACTAGGGTTTGAATCCCAGCCCTGAGACTTGAAAAATAGGCCAGGTATATGTTCCCAAAACCCTAACATATTTGAGAAATGGAAGAAAAAGGATTGTAGCATGACCATGCCCCACTAGGGACTGGGACTCTATGGTCACCACTGATGACTCTTCTGCTGGCAGAGAGTCACCTGAAACTCAAGACATAGATATCTGAGTCAAGAGGGAGAAGGGGAGCCCATACCAGGTATGAGCCCCTCGAGTCTCTCTGATCCTCTGTATTTATTAGCGTATGGGAGGAACCAAGAGTTGTTTTTCAGAAAATTAAAAGTAAAGGTTGTTGGGACCATCAGATGGCATCATGGTTACTTCTCTGGACTCCCACGTAATTGACCGTGGTTCGAATCCCACACTAGGCAGATTAAATGCACGCCAGGTACATGTGCGTATGTGCCCAAAATCCTGAGAGGAGAATAGAGGAGAAGGGATTGCAGCATGGCCAGCCCTCTTGGGTGGTGATTTCTTGCTTTCTATCTCTCTGTCTCTCTAGCAAGCATAAGCACAATATAGTAAAACTCTCTCTGTAAAAAAAGTGAAGGTTGTTTCCTGGGGCATGTTGAGTTTAGTTATCAATAAAAGAAAGTTTCCAGATGACCCTTGGGATAGACAAACACCTAAGAATTTGGAAAATACATTCATCAGATAACACACCTATCTAAATCACCTCCTGGTGTTTTCAAGCATGAGGTAGGAGTTTAGCATTTTCACCAAGTTCCCATTCACTCATGCATTCAAAGTTCATAAATCCATGGTGTTTGGGGGGCGAGGGGGTTCTGCTGTTCCCTAACAAGGGACTGCTTTCTCTTTCTCTTGTGAGTACACAGGCCCTCTGGCAATTAAAAAAAGTTGTGTGTGCCCAGCTGTGATAGCAAGCACTGGCAGCTGTTACTGAGCAGGCTGGGGTCACATGGAGGCCCAGGTTCAGTTTCTAGCCTGCCCTAAAAGTCAGGTGTGGGGACTGTGCCTACAGTCCCAGCTACTCAGGGGACTGGGACAGAAGGATAGTGACAGTGAGATCCTGCCTGGGAGTGGGGAGGAGTACTTAAAAGTATCTCTGAGACAGTCATCTTTTTATTTTCTTTTTTGGTAGAATAAAAAAAATCATTTATTATTTTTTTAAGAAGATCTGTTGATTTGCATATTTCTTTTACAAGGGAAGAGAATGGTACCATGGAGATGGGTAGGGTTATGGAGAACATGGCTAATGTGTGATTGTAGAAAGGTATGAAGGAAAAAAGTCTGTCATTGGTACTGAGGTGTTGTAGCAACAGGAGGGTGAAAGGCACAGTGGGGAGAGAAAGGACTTCTAGACAGTGTCAGGAAGAAGGACCCACCTGGCCTCCCAAAAGGGGTCAACATTATGCTTATGAAAACTAATTTCATAGGATTCCTGCAGCTTTGCTCAGTAGTGCTTCTAAGTCTTCTGCAGTGCTGTTTGTTGTTGCTTTAAAACTTAATTTAAACCATGTTACATATTTTACAGATCCCTCATTTTGAGTGGAACTCTATGGCACTGTCAACCAAGGCTGCTCGGATGGACTACCTGCGAGAACGTGTATTTGGAGAAGAAAGATCATGACAGTTGTTTCATTTAGAAGGTGTCATCATTGTGTGTCACACTTGGACTTGTAATTAAGTGGCCAGACTCAATTAAAAAATAGTAGGTACATACATCCTGAGGTGGAAACATGCCTGGTGTGTTTGTGGATAACAAGGGATCCCGTGTGGCTGGAGCAGAACAAGTGGGCAGTGGGATGGGAGTATAAGAGAGAAAACGTAAGAGTGAGTAGAGCCAAATGTATGAGGCGACCTTATGGCTATTCTCAGGGAGGTGAGAAGCTATGGGGGGGCTTCAAGCAAGGCATGGTAGGACTGACATTTCAGCTGCTGGCTGCCCCGCTGAGGTGCAGATACTACAGTGGGGCAAATGTGCACGAGGGAAACCCATTACAAAGTTACTGCAGTGATCCAGGCAAGAAATGGGTGGTGGCTTGAAGAGACCAGTAGCACTGGAGGCAGTGAGAAGTGGGCAGAGTTTTGGGTGTATTTTGAAAGTAAAAGCAACAAAATTTGCTTGCTGTTTGAATATGCTGTGTGAAATAAATGGGAGTCGATGATAATTATAAGTTTTTGTCCTGAGCAGCTAAAACTGATGTCATTACCAGTAAGTGAAATGGGGAACTTATGGGGTAGACGATGATGCGGGGGGTGACTAGTTGGGGAGAGCTCACTAATTTGTTTTAGACATACTGAGTTTGTGATATTTAAAAACTTTCTTTTTTTTTTTTTTTGCTTGCTAGAAGGCATGTGCACTTGACAGAGATGGAGAAAGAGAACAAAGCACCCCCTATGGGGAATAGTCATGCCACAATCCTTTCTCCTCTATTCTCTCTTTTTGGATTTTGGTCATGCACCTGGCATGTTTCTCAAGCCTCCAGGTTTGAGAATCAAACTTAGGGTTGGTCCTGTGGGATCCAGCCACCTTAACCACTGCACCAACCAGCTGGTCCTTTTAAACATCTAAGTGGAGATAACAAATAACGAGTTCAATAAATGGATTTGGAGACCAGGGGAGTGGTCTAGGCTCTGGATATAAATTAGGAAGTTGCTGTTGGTATCTGGTGCCACATCACTTAAGATGTGATTAGAGAAGGATGTGAATGGTAGACTGATAGAATGATCTGAGCTCCAACATTAATAGGCCAAAAAA